TGATGGTGATGAGTGTGATGAGACAAACGTTGCTCTCACCTAAATCCACTTTCTCATTGCTGGGGGGAAAAAAAAATCTTAGTCTTTATTTTCCCTCAAGTTGAAAAGGTCAGGTTACTTTTCCCTCAAACCTCCCATCAAAAGTAAAGCACACACACACACACCCTAAAACACACAAAACCTACTGTATCAGAGACCACCAAGTTGAAATGACAAGATCCCACTGTTCTCCTTCTCTGTGTCCACATTCTCTCTAAGGCCCCTGGGTTCAGGCCTCAAGCTAAGAACACAGACTGTGCTGCTGATGGGACCTCAGAGCAAAACACAGCTATCTTCAACTCTAGATGTTCATTTTACTATAAGATCATTTACTTATTACTGACATTTACATTTTATCAATTTGATCCATTTATCTTTAAAGCACTTTCAGCTATTAAATTATGTAATGAACACTATAATCAAGATGTTCTCCATTGACTCAGTTTAGGTTTACTAATGTAAATTCTTTAATCATTCACTTGCCTCTCTTTTCAATTTTCTAACAATAATGGACCATCTCATATGTGAGTGCCTGGTGTTTTAATATCAGAGATGCATGTGCAGGCACACCATACACCCACATTCACAAAATAATCTAACTTAAAGCAAATACGTCCATCAAGGCAGGCTCTGTCACTGACTTTGAGATCACATCATAGAGGAAAATAGGTCAGTAAAATCAGAAATGCCTAAGTTGCAATTGTGGTTCTACTCAGGGTTTCAGCTTCCACATATATAAAGTTGGGATGGTGAAAACTAGAGACATAAATAAAGCATTTAACACAGTACCTAGCATACACAGGAGTTACTACCACCATCACCAGTTGCACCAAGACAAGCTGGGCCATTTTTCCCAGCTGCCCCACTGTTTGCTGATCAGGACTAGTCACTATCTTCCCTTCCCCCATCTCTTTTAACAGTTTTATTGAGATATAATTTACATATCATAAAATCTATCCTTTTAAAGCATCCAATTCAGTGGTTTTTAGTATATTCATACAGTTAAGTGACCATCATCACTATTTAATTGTAGAACATTTTCATCATCCCAAAATAAATACCATACTTGTTAGCAGTTACTCCCTAATACTCTCTTTCCCAATCTCTGGAAATAATTAATCTTTTTTCAGTGTCTATGAATCTACTTATAGAAATGGAATAATACTATATATGGCTTTGTTTCTGGCTTCTCTCACTTAGCACAGTATTTTCAAAGTTAATCCACATTTTAGCATATATCAGTACTTCATTCCTTCTTATGAGTGGAATAATAATAGTTCATTGTATGGATATACCACAACTCATGTTCAACCATTCATAAACTGATGGGTATTTGTTTCCACTTTGGGGCTATTATAAAAACACTGCTGTGAAGACTCATGTACAAGCTGCATGGTCATCTATTTTCTTTCCTCAAGGGTATATATATCTACAAGTGCAATAGTGAGCCACATGGTAACTCTATGTTTAACCATTTGAGGAAATGCCAGACTGCTTTTCAAAACGGCTGTACCATTTTACATTTTCACGTGCAGTATATGAGAGCTCCAACTTTCCCATATACTTGCCAACACTTTTTATTATCTTTTTTTACAGCCATCCAAGTGTGTGTGAAGTATACTGCAGTGTGGTTTTGAAGTATACTGCATTTCCCTGATGGTTAATGATGTACAACATCTTTTCATGTGTTAATTGGCCATTTGTACATCTTCTTTAGAGAAATGTCTATTCTGATCCTTTGTTTAAATTGGACTGTCTTTTTACTCTTGAGTTGTAAGATTTTTTTATTCTAGATACAAATCCCTTCTGAAATACATGATATGCCTATATTTTCTCCCAAAATGTTTGTTTTATTTTTTATTTTGTTAAGGGTATCCTTTGAAGCACAAAAGGTTTTAATTTGTATGAAGTCAAATTTATCTATTTTTTTCTATTGCTGTTTGTGCTTTTGGTGTCACATCTAAGAATCCATTGCCTAATCCAAGGTTACAAAATTTTGCTCCTTAAAGTTATTCAGCCATAGCTTTTACGTATGTCTATAATCCACCATTGTCAGCTACTTTTTCTATATGGTGTGAAGTAGAGGTCCAACAGCATTCTTTTGCATTTGGATGTCCAGTTGTCCCAGCACTATTTGCTCAAAAGAACCATTCTTTCCTCTACTTAATTGTTGGGGCACTGCATTACCTCTTATATCCATATTCAGAGCATTTCATTCTTTGCAGGTATACATCTCTGATCTTGTTAACTTTCTACCTATTAGGTGTTTTTAGTACTCTACTTGAGCCTGCCAATTTTTGAAACAAATCTTTGAACCTCTTCTATATTTATGTATTTCAGTTCGGCCAATCATTTACATTTAACAACACTTCATATGAATCAAGTAGTATTCTAGATTCCCAGATATAATCCCAATGAGGCAATGAGTGTTCTTNGTCATGGTGAGGAGGGGTGTTTGAATGAGAAAAATGATAGAACTATCAGACAAAGAGGGGCTTTAGAATATTTCAAGAAGAGGGAAATAATGGGCACAAAAGTATGTAGTTGAAAAAAGGTCAGGTGTATCCAGGAGACAGAAGTTTAAGATGGTAGCAATGTGGGGCAACATGTAAAGGAGAGCAGGGTTGATTATGAAGGGTCCACATACCACACCAGAGAACTTTAATACTCTGAGATGTACTCTGAAATCTAGGTCTGAACAAGGAAGCCACATCTATGAGGAAAAGGACTGTAGGGATAAGATGTAGAACTGACTCGCATAGGGACAGGCTAGGATTGGGCATTTTTCACACACATCTAGCCACCAGGAGGTGGTGGTGGTGGCGGGGGGGTGGGGTGGGGTGTGTGTGTGATATTTTATACTTGTGTGTGTGGTATTTTATACTTGTGTGTGTGTGTGTGTGTGTGATATTTTATACTTGGTTCCACCCTCATTTCTTCTAAGTGTGCGTGCTTCCAGCCTTAAAGAAGAGGTTGTATGCATTCAACCTATTACAGCTTTCTCAATTTTCTTCATATTAACCAAATATTTTACTCAGACATTTCACTGTCAAATATCATTAATGATACAGTGTTACTAACTGGAGGTCATTTAACTCTGGGCCCATCTTCTGATCAGGGAGTCCGATCTAAACAGAGTTAAATACATGCCTTATAGACTGCTTCTTTCTCTTTTTCAATTCAAAATTCAAATTACTCCATTTTTTACTATTCTTCCAAAATCCCCCAACACTGTCTGCCATAATTCTCAGTTGACAAAGTGTTTCACTATGCTTCCATCTCCAGTTTTATACAAGTGAGTTTATAAGCTCTCTTTCACTCTTTCTGCTTGATTTTCTATAGAAGTTTTTCAGAATCAGGAATATACCATGGTCTAAAATTCCCCATTTTTTCCTAGGACTCCCAATAAATGTTTTGTAGTTAGTAAAATTACAGCAATGTCACTAGCAAGAAAAAGCACACTGTAGCTTCTCTCCACTAGAATGTTCAACTTTTAAATGGTATTCCTTAAATGGACCTTAAGCATAAAAGGAGGTGTTATTCTACCATCACAATGGTGAGAACTGTACTCTGTTCAATGGAATGAAACACTTCCTCAAAATAAATGAGGAGACCTAATGCAACTCTACATTCCTCGTTCTCTTCAGTTAATTGGCTAGTGACGTGAATGTAATCCATCATCGCGTGTCCTGGCTGCAAGGGCCTGCTCTGAACACTTTTCTCCTTCCACTGATTCTTGTTTACAAAGACTTGTATAAAGAAAGTTGTTTATTTGTAATAGGGGGAAGGCTGGCCAACATTTGGGCTACTCAAAAGAAAAAGATGTCAAATTTGCTCACATAAAAGCAAGAATGGAAAAAATGAAATTACAGTGGCCGCTGTATGGCTTAGACAGTGAAGAAATGGGTAAGTTTTTACATCAGAGAAGGATAAATCTTTGATTCCTGCCTGAACTTCAGCAATTTTCCTATGTAGCTGCCAGTTTTTTTCACCCTAGCAAAATTATTAAAAACTGAAAATTATAGTTTTTAAAATAACTTTAGAAGCAGGCAGGGAGTGAAAGAATAGAAAGAAAAAAATCTAGAAGGATATAATCCAAAAATCATTAACATAATGATTGTCTTCTGTGGGTAGTAAAATTATAAATATTATGTTTTTTATGCTCTTCTATTTTTCTGATTTTTTTCCCAGTGAGTAGAGAATGCTCTTATAATCAGAAAAAAAAAAACAGCAAAAGAGGCAAAGAGAAAAAGAGTTGGTTGGGTAGGCATTTGGAAAAGCAGTTGCGCAGGGAGAATCAGGGAGACATTCATACCACACTCAGCCTAGAACAAAAGCTTAGAGTGGACACAGATATCTATACTTCAAGAAACCAAGTATAGGAGTATAATTTTATCCTTTAACTTTTTAAAAAATCCTTCCAACATACCTCTGAAATAAACTGCTATTGCTTTTTTAATTGTGATTGCTATTTTACTTAAGAGAAAACTAAATTTCAGAGAAATAAGAAGTACAAACAGCAAGTTCTCACATCAAACTCAGCAAACCACCAAGCCCAGGTTGTGCCATGTTATGAAGAAATGGGACTCCCATAACAAAAGGCAGGCTCTTTTGATATTTTCACTAATTACGTCTGCAATTTTTTTCCCCCAACAAACTGGTACAGATGAAAGCAAATCTCTTAAGGCAGCAGAATCCATGAAGGCATCAGAATCAAATGGTCAAGTGTGAAACCCACCTTAGCTGAGGACAGCCTAATAACCTCGCTGTGTTTCCCTCCCTCTGACTTTGGCACGTCAAGTGACAAGACTCAGAAAGGGCCATGTGGTGCCACAAAAGTGATGACAACCCTAGCCCCTAGCATTATCCTAACTGAATTAATCTTCGGATAAGTTTTTGAAGCTGCAACACAGTGCAGTCATAGTGCCCGTGGGGAGTGGAGAAGTCGCCAAACGCTTTACCTGTGAGATATAACCTGGAGGCACATGGATAGGAGGAATGGATCCATTGGGTGACATCATAGGAACTTCAGCAGGTCCTAAAACCAGCAAGAGTAAGATATTAACAGTTGAAGAAATAGACATTATTCAAAATAATCACTGGCATTTAAAAAATATTATCAAAACTAAAGAGAATTTATCACTTTGACGATTTTCTCTTCAGTAAGTGGTGCATCATGCCTTAAGACCTGAAATCACGGATGAAAAGAAATCCTCTATCTGTGTAAGTCAAGAGGAAAAAGAAAACAAAAAAAAACCCCACGAGCTTTAAAAATATTAATGATTCGCAAAGCCTCAAGTTCCACAAACCAAAGCTGCTCAGTTAGAAGTAGCCTAACAAAGTAGGTCAAAAACTTTTTTTGCTTTTGAAAGAAAATATTATTAATAAATGCTTAAACAAATACTTTCTAAAATGAGTTTATCTCTTCTGGTTTTATTATTTTCATCTTATTATTTAAAATAAGTTACTTAAGAGGCCATTAATATGAAATGGAAGAAACCTTTAAAAAATATTCCAAATCAACTTAATTTGCTATGTTATAAGGCAGGGAGAAAAATAGGTAGCATTTTAAAGCTAGACATTAATAGGAATTACTCCTGCCAAACTTACTTGTATTATGTCAAAATAAACCATTTGATTAATACGAGGTTAGTTTCAAAATATTAAAGTCAAATTATGTAAATCACATGTCTAAAGCAAACAATGAATGGCAAGACAACACTCCTTCACTTAAGACAAAGTTTGAGGTAATATTCAATGACAAAGGAATTGATTGTCATAACATTAGAATCAACTTCTGACACCCTTCTCAACATCCTATAATTAGTTTCCCTAGAAGTGCAAGAATTTCACAGTCACTGGTTTTCAGTGTGGCAACTAGAAACCCACCTCCCAAATGTCAATTCAAACCTGTGTTTCTTGCCTGAGATGCGACTTCCTGGCTCCAAGTGCTGTGTGCTGTTTATTTGCTTTCTCTTAATGTGTGTTGTGCTGCCGGCAATGAAAATTGCTCGGCTGTAACAAAAACCAAGAAAAATACAACACTTTTCTTGGGAAAACAAAACATATCCTGCTACCCAGTGCTGCATTTACATGTAAGCATAATGCACCTTTCACTTCACGGTACAATCCAGTGTTATAGATCCTTAACAGGAGAGGACCAGTGGAAATGTGGAGGGACAGGGGTGCTGGGGTGCCCGTCAAAAAGTATTTAAGTATAGGAAAGAAGTATAGGAGGCAGGGCAGAAGAGATGCTAATGTTCATAACATTCTATATGACTAGAGTCACCGCAACTTCACAGACAATATACCAAAGCACTCAACTATTGCATAATCTCTAAGCAGGTAGCATACCCCAAGGGTCTCTCTCACGCTAATACACTGGCAACAGTTTACAGCAAAAGACAACCACGGCATAAGCAAGGATAATTGCATGAACTCATTCTATTTTTAAGTATGATTTAAACTAATAAATCCACCAATAACTGAAGGCACTTTCACCTTCCAAATCACTACCTAAGTCCATCTCTCTTCAACTTCAACATTTTTGCCATAGCCACCAAGACATTTATGTATCTGCTAAATATTTGTATTTGAACGGACTAGCTAAAAAAAAAAAAAAGATCATAGACAACTATTTCGATCTGAGCATGAGCCTGTGAAATCCCAGGGTCAGAGCACTAGGCTCTATAAGCAGGCATTCAAAACATCGCCTCTGCTTGGTTTCATTCCCCAGCTCACTATTCATGCTGGTTGTGTGACCTTGAACAATTCCCTTAGATGTTCTGAGCTTCATTGCTCAACAGTTTAAAGTGAGAACAGTAATGTGTGCCTCACAGGGTTGGGCTTAAAGATTAAATTCTGTAATACAGGCAAAGCATTTAAAGAGGGGTATGGCCCGATAATCCCTCATCAAAATGTTAGCGATCTTCACAATTTTTAAAAATTTTGTTCATAGCTTTTTAGTTTTGGAGTTTTTTTGGTACAATTGCATTTAAAGTACTAATTTTTTAAAGTAGGATATGTGACACATAAAATCAGTAAGTATACACTGTGCACAATACTGACTTAAGTGGCAGACTTTCCTCATCATATAAATACTAAATATTTCACAGCACAAAGCGTGAACAGAAATGTTCCTACCTCAATAAAGTACTGCTTTTTAATCACCAAACTATATACCAAGCAAACAGTCTCTTAACCCCAGGAATGACCCTAAAACTGCTAAAGTCTTTTGTATAAACTGCTTTAGAGAATGTAGGACAAGTGATTTACAGCCAGAAAATGTTTTCTTCACAGCCTTGATTTCAGAAGCAGCTAAATAGCTTCAGCATGTTTGTCCTCCTCCCTGTCGTCACTGTCATCAGTCTTTCAAAGGGTGTAGAGAAACGTGCAGGAATGGCTCCTGAAGCTCAGCTGTGCCTCGGTACCACGAGGTTCCTATCCTTTCTGAAATAGAGCATTATATCCATACGCATTCAGAAGCTTAAAAGCTAGCAAAATAAAGTTGAATTCACAATGGCGGTATGAGAAAAGTTATTGTTGCTCTCAATATTTACCTCCCAATCAGTGAGTTCACGGTCTCTGCTCAAATGCTGGTGTTTGAGAAACCTCCTGGTGTATTATAATCCTTTCCAAAATCAAAATACAAGCTTCCCTTCCTATGCTTCTAGGACTACTTGGTTCTTCTTGATTTTTTAATTAGTAACCTCATGACACACAAGGCTTACATGACATAGCCCTTAGAATATGGAGAAAAATGTTTCTCTTCCTGTTCAAACCAGCAAGTTTAGATATATAGGGAGCGGGGGACCACATAATCTTTTCAAATCAACTTCATCTCTTGACTGTATTGGGAAATCATTGAACTATTAAACTTTGGAAAAAAAATTTAATCTCTTAAGGGATCCGGAACCCCCTTTAATTAAACACTCTTGATACATATAAGTAGGTATACACAGATATATGTATATACAGATTAAATAATCTGAAAACAAAATAAACACACTTCCAAGCTACTCTCAGATTTTTTTGAGTGTGTGTGAAACTAATGAATAAACAGCTAGAGACCACATGAACTCTTCCACAGACAGATGAAAATGTCACATGCACAATTTCTAGAACTGGAAGTAGAACATTCGCAAGAGCCCAGAAACTCCATGAAAAAAAAATGCCTTGGGAAATTTGATCAAGTTCAGGTTTTAGGCTGTGACTTCAACAGTCAAGAATTCCTTTTTTTTTTTTTTTACTGAACAAGATGTGAGGCACAAACAAGGAATATGATTGATTATAGTCATTAAAAAATTTAACTGCAATATGCAAGTACATGGTCTAACATCTTAAAAGTCTGCTAGCATTTGTTAATGAACTGGTTTTTCATTTACTTATAGCAAACCTTGAACCAGAGAGGCTGCAAAGCAGCTTAATTAGTCAATCAATAATAATTCATGCAATAATCCTAGGACTTATTTCCCATATCAAAGAGACTAAAGGAAAGCCAAGTAATGTATTTTTAGGACCACACGTGCTCAAAGAGAGCTTCTGAGCCATTCTGCTTCAACTCTATGCTTCTTCCCTGCTACTAGGGATTCCCCAGAACTTACATATGTCAATATATTTAAGTCTGATATGTCTGATGCTATATTCAAAATATTCCCTCATTCTGGGGGCAGAGTTAAATAGACTGACTTACAGTAAATGCACAAATGAGGTTTAGAAATCTGAAAGTGATAGAAAATGGTAATACAAGGTACAAATTAGCATTTAAACCAGTATTAGAAATAGGCCAGCTATAAATAAGTAATTATGTCACAATTTTGGATATTTTAACTGGCATTTTTATAAGCTAAGTATTCACCAACAGGTAAACAAGTGTATAGCAGAATTTTATCATCATACTTGTCTGTAAACTGGTACTTGTGTCCAATGGCTCTTTTTGATATCTCTTAGGAGCAATGCATCACAGTCTTATCTTATTAAATATTATCTTGTTCAATAAGGATATAAAGGAGGATGAGATCAAGACATAGCAAGATTAAAGAAAATAATGAGAAAAATAAAGCAAAGGCAAAATAATGATAAAATCTAATAAACCCTATGAAAGTGACTCTTTTAATAAAAAGTAAATAAATATAATAAACTCTAAAAAAGACCCTCTTGAGTCTTTTTAAGTAGCCAAAAGAGAAATTCTTGCTGGCAAAAAAGTAGTCATAAGGAAAGGGCCACAGCCAGTAGGTAAGCAGACAATGATGGTAAAAATAAATATCAGAACAAAGAGCCTAAATGATGTGTGCACTTGCATTGTTTACAATGGGTCTAAGACTAATTACAAAATGTAAGGTTGTCTGATGAATCCTGGATGTCTAATAATGAATTTCCAATTCTTCATGGTGATTCAAGACACAAAGACCAACTAAGGGATTATGCAAACACTTTGGGGAACCTTGACATTCTATTTTTAAAAATCATTCAACACTGATTAATACCACAAGAGAACTAAAAGGAATTCAAAGGTAGTAAAGGACAGGTCCTAATCTCAAAGAAGTTTAAATTTTAGTGCAGTGGTTCTTAAACTCTAGAGTATATCAGAATCACTCAGAGGGTTTCTTAAAATCCAGATTGCTAAACTCCATTTCCCATGGTTTCAGAATCAGGAGGTCTGAGGTGGGTCTCAAGAATTAGCATTTCTAACAAGTTCTCAAGTGATATAGATGGTGCTGTCCAAGGGCCACACTTAGAGAACCTCTGATCTGGTAGGTAAAAGACAGTAATTCCCCACAGCTAACATTACACTCAACGGAGGAAGACTGAGAGCTTTCCCCCCTGCCATCAGGAACAAGACAAAGGTGCCCATTTTCACCACCACTATTCAACAACTTCCTAGAAGTTCAAACCAGAACAATTAGGTTAAGTTAGGTTAGGTTAGGTTAGGCTGGGGAGGAGAGATGAGGGGAGGGGAGGGGAGGCCTCCAAACTGGAGAAAGGAAGAAGTAAAACCGCATCTATTTGCAGATAACATAATCAAATGCACAGAAAATC